TCCGCTGCTGTCGAAGAAATCGAAATCCGATCCCAATGCCCCGGCCATAGATCGCATCCCTCTGCCGGAGCTAAAGGATGCGGACAAATTACTTAAGCTCAAGGCGCTGCGCGAGGCCAGCAAACGTCTGCCGCTTAACAAGGAACAGCTGCCCTCTGCCGTATTCTATACAATACTTAATTCCATGCAGGGCGTCACCTGTGCCGAGATTTCCGATGATTCCACAATGCTCGCCTGTGGCTTTGCGGATTCCATGGTGCGCATTTGGTCATTGACGCCAGCCAAGCTGCGTGCTTTAAAAGACGCCGAGGCGCTTCGAGAACTGGACAAGGAATCGTCCGATATCAACGCCCGCATGCTGGACGAGCGCAGCGGGGAGATGACGCGCTCTTTCCTTGGCCACACGGGTCCCGTCTATCGTTGCGCATTTGCGCCCGAGATGAATCTGTTGCTCTCCTGTTCGGAGGACAGCACCATTCGGCTGTGGTCACTGCTAACCTGGTCCTGTGTGGTCACCTATCGCGGCCATGTCTATCCGGTGTGGGATGTGCGCTTTGCGCCGCATGGCTATTATTTTGTATCGTGCTCCTATGACAAGACCGCTCGGCTCTGGGCCACAGACTCGAATCAGGCGCTGCGCGTATTTGTCGGACATTTGTCCGACGTGGACTGCGTGCAATTTCATCCCAATTCCAATTATGTGGCCACCGGCTCCAGCGATCGTACGGTGCGTCTATGGGATGTGCTCACTGGCCAATCCGTGCGCCTGATGACTGGACACAAGGGCACCGTTAGCTCCCTCGCCTTCTCCATTTGCGGCCGTTACCTGGCCTCCGGCTCGGTCGATCACAACATCATCATCTGGGATCTGTCGAATGGGTCGCTGGTCACAACGCTGCTGAGGCACACGAGCACCGTGACCACGATTACCTTCAGCCGGGACGGCACCTTGTTGGCTGCCGGCGGACTGGATAACAACCTGACGCTGTGGGACTTCCACAAGCTGACCGATGATTACCTGAGCAATCAGATAACCGTGTCACACCACCAGGACGAGAACGATGAGGATGTCTATCTGTTGCGCACGTTTCCCAGCAAGAATTCGCCGTTCCTGACGCTGCACTTTACGCGTCGCAATCTTCTGATGTGCGTTGGTCTCTTCAAGAGTTAGTTTCCCCAGTAGATATACATTTTTACTTCCACTTTTAAGCCAGGCAGTCACAATTTATTGCTGCACAATTGGAAATTCGTAATTGATTCGATTTGTTTTTAAGCTAAATTTAGGATTTAAAATAGTTGATTCGTAACCTTGTAATTAAGTCTAAATGTGTGACTACTTTATAAATATATCATGCTCCTTCTTTTTTCTAAATCTCGATTGTTATTTGATGTGGAGTCTTATGGGATGCGCTCTTTATATGCTTTAGGGAATGTTTTAGTCGTAGCAGATCTTATATTTATATATATAGCCTTGATTGAGGAGATGAGTTAATCTAGATCTCACAGTCTATACGACTGTCGATCTATCATACGTACATTATGTGTGTACTCCTCTGATATAGAAAGAAAAGTTGAGTAGGTCAGCAGCAGCGAGCCCTCCTATTGGTCACTCCACGATCGAGTGATGCCCACTCAGACGAATGCTCGAGAACTGAGCTCGGGTTGAGTGCGAGCCCCCCATATAAAGGGAAGTCTGAGCGGGCCTTCTTCAGTCGTTTGGCTGACCTTTGGGTCGGTGGTCCAGTGCAGCGCAGTGGCTCTCCTCGACTCCTTCTCTGGCAGGCGTGTGTGTGTGTGTGTGTGTGGTAAGTGTTTATTTAGATTAAATTATAGTTAATAATATTAATAGTTATATTAAGTTAAATTGTTTAATATTTTAAGAAATTGCTTATAATAATATGAATAATAATGTTTATTAACATAAGTACATTTTTAAGCGGAGAGCGTTCTCTACGAAGCTGTGGAACGATCGGCATGCAGGGAGAAGCAACACTTACACACACAGTCGGTAGGCAACGAGCAGTGACATTTACGCATACATGTACAAGGACTTTAGCAACACGCATACATGCGTGCATAAGAGAGAGTAAGGAAAGTATGCGGAAGACAATTATGCAGAGCAAGAACACATACACATACATACATACTTCAATCGACAGATAACGAAAAGCAAAGCTTTTGCATACCTTAGCAGCACACATACTTGCATGCATGCGTAGGAGAGAGCTTTAATTGTAAGCATTAGGAAGTGATGAATAGTGAGAAATTGTGATCATGCTCACACTCACACTGCGCCTTGGGATTGGTCAACTTGCATAGCTTCTCTGAGAGAACCAGAGCGAGAGAGTAAAAATTACAGGCTTAGCACGAAATGAGTGAGAGCTGCTTTAGAGGTGCTATCTTTCTATGTATGTGTTCGTTTTAATTTATATAGTTAATTTGTAACCTGTAATAAGTTTACAAATATATACATTTTATTTTAAATGAATATGTTTTATTAACATACAAATTTATTATCGTTCGACTTGTCATACAGAATTTAATGGGATTTTATTCAGCATCGGGAATGCCAAAGGTGCGACGCACTGCCTCGAAGTTCTTGATATTGAATACGGCACAACGTGGTGGCTTCTCGCCGCCAAAGGCGAGCGTGTAGGGATCCTCTGGACACTGTCGCATGCACTGCAGGCGGCCCATGTTGAAGTCGTGCTCGTAGACATGTTTTGGTTCGGTGCTGTTAAAATTCCATATTTTCAGCGTGCCTTCGGTCGAGGTGGAGGTCAACAGATTAGGCATTTCCTTGTTGAAGCAGACACCAGAGATTTCTTCGTTGTGCGCCTTCACGGACCACAGCAGCTTCTTGGGCTGACGCTTGTCGGCGTAGTGTAAGCTGCCGTCATTGGTGCCAATGATGAAGTAGTTTGTCTCCGTTGGATGCCAAAGGACTTTCTCCACCTCGCCGCTGATCTGCCACTTGACAAATGCCGAGTCCACATTGTCTGCATCGCGACAGTCGAAGAGACGCACCAAGCCATCGGAGCAGCCGGTGAGTATGCTCTGCGCCTCCTCCGGATGGAATTCTATGCTCTGTACCTTTTCCTCGAAGGCGGTAATTGTCGTATGTGGCTGCCCCTCGTCCATGTCCCACAGAATGAGGGTTCGATCCACTGAACCACTCGCTAGAATGTGCTCGAACTGGGGATTCCACGATAGGTCGAGGACAGCATCTGTATGACCGTACTGTTCCTTCTGTTTTTTGCGGTTGCCCTTGGAGCCAAGCTTAAATGTTGGCTCTATGGAATCCTGTATATCCAGATCCCAGATCGTGATAACCGGATCCATGCAACCAATGGCGCACATATTGCCCGGCTTGTCGCTGCCCGCATCGTGATTCATCCACTCGATGCAAAGAGGAAAACTGGGCAGCAGGAAGTCGTGATGTGTGTAGAGCGCCTGCTCCTCCTGGTTAAACACCCAGACTTCCATGCTGGCGGCGTCGTCCTGCACATGGCCGACAAGCACCAAATTATCTGTTGGCTTAATCACCTCATCCTCAGCCTCTGAATCCTCGTCCTCATCCGGCACCTGTTCATCGGCAACGTTCGCAATATTTGTTACAGTTGAATTTTCTTCATTTTCATAATTATCGAAATCGAACTCGTCATCCTGGGAATGGCCATTGTTGGCAGCGACATCTTCACGATCTACATCCATATTCTCCTCATCCTCATCATCATCATCGTCGTCATTGTCATCATCGCCTTCATGCAGCTGATCTCGCGTTTCGCCAATAATGCGCGCTAGCTCCGATTGTGTTAAGACAATTTTTTCGGGCCTCTCTTTGGTGACGCCGCGTGGCACAAAACACAGAGCAGGCACAAAGTCTATGCTTGGCTCCGTTGGACCATCGCCGGGCTCCGTCATTGTTATATTATTATAAACAACGAAATTAAAAGTGTTAACACGTGCACGAGTCAAGTACAAATATTACATTAAATTATGCCACAGCTTCGCAAAGCTGGTCACGCTGCAAGAAAAAATAGAGTGGCCAAATTGCCTTTTATGCTAACCAATTAATCGTTAATAATCGATTATTTTTCAAGGCGCAACATTTTTAAAAATTGCTATTAGCATATCAAATATACATTTATTTACTAAAATGAAAACTAAAATTCATTGGTGTAATCAAAATTCACATTTATTTATTTAGAAGTCATATCTATGTGCCACGATAAGTACTGTAGCCAAATGGACTAATTAGGAGCGGAATATGATAACTTTGAGCTTCACAACAATCCACAATAACATCTATTGCTGGATAAAAGGTTTTTATATTTTGCTGAGCAAAATATGAGCCCACTTGAAATGTTAACTTATAGATGCCATTGATAAAATCAGTTTCTGCCAACAACTGACAGCGTCCATCTGCATTCGTTTGTGCCGGTTTAATTGCAATCCATTCCTGAAATTCGTTTAGGCGATAAACGGTTACTTTGACGTTGGAAGCTGCCTTTCCAGTTGATGTGTTTAGCACATGCGTTGATAGCTTACGTGCGTTCATTGCAAATGTCCAAAGATAACTGAGAAAAATGTAGCTAATCTTTAAAAGGGTTCGCATGAAATACAAATGTAGTCATTTTAGATGATATATTGCTGATAAACAAATAGATAAGGTAGAAGTAGTAGGATTAAATGGTTGCTGATCTTGACTTTTATATTTAAATTTAAAGATTCCATACATGTTTGCTTCAATTATATCACAAGTTATATTTCATGTTAATAATTCCATTAAAAACATCATTAAATTAACCTATTAAAACTACCTGTTTCTAGCATCAACGGATAAAAACAAGCAGAAACATGTTAACTAACAGCCGATTGTAACAAACAAATTATCGTATATCGATAGCATTATGATTTCAGAGAAAAATAACAGCGCACTGCTCTGTCCAATTACGAACTGCTGCTGCTGCAGCGCTAACAGTTTGATTTTGTTATTGTAAAAATTGTTTTCGAAGCGGTCGGGTCGGCTGTGTTGCGTCGGAGCGTAAGCGTATCGCGACTTTGCAAGAAGTTATAGATATCCAAGTATCAACAAGGCCGAAGTTGAAGCTTTTCTTTGTAAATTGAATTGCAGCAATAAAGCATATACATGTCTGTCAATGTAAAATATAATATATTGCAATAAATCGTTGTGAAAATTCTTAGCGGCTGCCGTCATTTTACCGGTAAAAAAAATATAAATATATATAATCGTGAAATATATGCATAGTATATTAAATAATAGTACACGAAAATAATTGGCTACCAAAACGAAACGTCAACCGGTCAACGTCAATTGTCTATGTTGTGATTCGATTTGCCCACGTTCATAGTGCAACGCAGAAGCAACAGTTGTTCTTCTTAATATAGTGTGAAAATCAAGAACAACAACAACAGCAACAGCAAAGTTCTAATAAGCAAATGCTAATGCAAATGATATTCGCACTTTGAAGAAAATAGTAACAGAGAATAGAATTCGATCTTTGACTATTCGAAAGTACAAAACTCGATTGTTTGTATATACACATGCATGCATAGTATACATATGTGTGTGTATGTTTGTACACACATATACGCATACATATACATGTGGTACACAAACTGAAGCCTGAACTGAACCTGAGCAGAAGCATCGAAGTAACCAACTTCAATCCCAACAAATCTTAAACCAGTTTTAAGATACATATTCTTGTTGTTTGTCTGCGTGTGCATGTTGTTGTTTTTATTATGTTTTATTTTTCTTTTCCTATTTCGCATTGTACATACCCTTGCGGAGGTCAATTTAGTTTTAGTGTTAAATGCGTCATGGAAGGAGTCATTAGAAGTATTATTAAAAGCTTAGCATAAAGCTCGCCTCGCCAGTTTATATACATATTATATAACTTTAGCATACACACACAGACAAAGATGCATACACATATGCATGTTTGCCTGCGAGGGTATTTAGGCTTCGATACGTTCAAATAAACCGTTCTTTCTTCTTTTCGTTTTGTGTTTGAAGTTTTTGCTGCCTCTGCAAGTTGAAATATGAATGTGTGTGTGTGTGTGCTCTCTCGCTCAAAGCTATGCCTGTATGTATGTGTATGTGCAAGCATAAGTCGGATACCCTTTGGCTGTTTCGCTTTACCTCGGCTTAAACTAATCGCGTGATGATTTTGTTGTTGTTATTGCTTTTGCTATTGTTGTTGTTGCTGCTGTTCTCGTTGTTGCTGTTGTAATTCAATGTATACCTGCAACAAGTACGGCACGTCTTGGCAGCTTTGTCTCCTGCCTCCTACGCGATACGCCAGATTAAGGCAATACAATAACAAGTTCAGTTTCCAACCAGATCCCACTACAACTACAGCGACAACCACAGCAGGAAAACAAGCTCTCATTACTTAGATTCCAATTGGAACAATTTGCTAATTGAAACCATTTAAGCTGGAATAATAATTATATTTGAGGTAAGCGAAATGCAATTAAAGGTATATAAATTTTTAATTGTAAATATTATATAGAATTTATTTTTAAATTATAATGTGAATTAGTTTTGTGACTTAAAGCTTTATTATAAACATAGTTTTATGATAAACATTTAGAAAATTTGAACTTAACTGGATGCTAAAGGACCCAACATACAGACTTCAATATCTTGAGGATCTGATCTAGTTTCGTGTTATGCTAGTTTAATTCATTTTTATTAATTCTTATTACTCTCTGTCTGTTTATAAAAGTCAGCTATACCATTAAAAAAAACTAATTTACATGAGTAAATTTAATTTTACATCCATTTAGGCGATTTATAGCTGCTACTTTTCTTTTCATTTCAAATTTAAGACTTTAACAAATTAAAGAAATGCCGTTATATTCGTATTTGTAATGTAGATACAGATCTTTGACTCAACATCGCCAAGGTCTATAATATATGTACATATATAATTGATTCAGAGCTGCCCACTGTAACCGCAATTAATTATAAAACTCTCTGAAACAAAAATGTTTCGTGAAATGTGAAAATTGCTTGGAGAGAGTGTGTTTTCCTATATATTATATACATATACCTAAATGTTATAAGTTTGTAACTGTCTTTATTTCGTAATGACATTGTCGTAACAAAATTTTCGTAGTTTTTTTGCACAATTTTTTGTGTTTCTGTTTTTTGTTGTTGCTCATCAGTGATAAAAATGCAATCAGAAAGTGCTAACGGTCGATCATGAGATATGCTTAATTGATTGATATGAAACGATCAACAAAGCAAAGCCAAAAAAAACAACAACAATATTTTGTGTTTTTTAGCCCCGCAGCGACAAAATTCGGCGATACATTAACTGTACATTAATTTTGTTGGAAACTTCATTCATTTGCATATCGAGAGGGAGAGAGAGAGGGGGAGAGACAGATATTATTATTGCCAACACTCGTAGTCGATCATTAAAGGTTGTTTGGCAAATTAGAAACTAGCCGCCACTTATTGACAGGGATGGCAAAAGCAGAAGAAGAAGAAGATGACGACGACGACGACGACGACGAGAAGAAATAAAAATATAGCTGAATTCCACGCTGCACTGTGGCGGCCAGAAACCGAAACAGAAACAGAAACCGAAACAGGAAATGAGCCCCCAGACAGTTTGAGTGAAGTTTTTCTTTTAAGTACCTTTCGTTCGCTTGGTCAATGCAGCGAGCCTCTTCTTGTCATTTATTATATATGCGTTTTTTATTTATTTTTCTTATACTCTACCTTTTTTTTTATCAGTCTTGGTTTTCTCTTTTGCTTTGAAACCATTGGAAATGGGAGTTTTAGAGGTATAATGGTTGAGTAAAAGTACTTGTTACTACCAATTAGAGGCTTATCTGAAGTTATATACAATATATGCTATCACTATTTTATATTTACTTTTACTAAAGAATGAATATTGGGATTACCTGATAAAATCGAGCTTACATCTATCTATCGCTCCTTTCATATATACAAATACGTGAATATTTGAAATGGAATAAAATTGATCTATTCAAAGTTTAGTTAAAGCTAGGCCTGAAAGTTGCTAATATAAATTAGAATGATCTTAATAATTATATATGTACATGTATAAATTTAGATTAAAATTTTTCTTTTCGCATATACCAATTAGACTCTAAAATATAAATTCAACCGAAGTTGAGTTGCAAATGTATCCAAGAAGAACTAAGAACTATTCACTTCAAACAGCTGCTGGTTTTAGGGTATTTCTTAGTCATGCAATCCATGTTCTTTTCCTAAAGTACATTTCCCCCTATAAGATCCAAGTCAATATCAGCGACCGTAAGAGTAATTGTTGTTTTTATACAAATTTCTTTCTCTGTGATTGCTAATGCAATTAGAGTATATACTTAGCTATAGCTACTTAATTATAGTATTTTTGTTAGTGCCGAACGCCTTCAGGCTAAAACAGCAATGTATACAGATGTTAGACTAGGAATCACAGCTAATGAGCACACTCAAATTGAATTATTAAAAAAATATATTCTTCTGAGGCTCATGAAAATGTGTATGAGTGAGTGAGAAAGAAAGAGAGAGACAGTTTGTAATTATTTTATATATTATGGAATAGAATATTGTATAAGTATTAGCTCATCAATTTGTGTGGCTATTCATATATCTCTTCTATATTATCTGACATGTATATATATACTATATGTCGCAAATTCTATTTATTAACTTATCAATAGCAAGACCAAATTGATTATATAGATCGTGTAATGCTTAAAAATAGACAATGATACGCAGCAGTTGGCATTTACGAATTATTCTGAAATAGTTATAGGAAGGTATATAATATTGGTATATATTTGTTATTATTTTCTATATATTATATTACATATAATTTTTAAATTCCATTCCTTTTGCGAAACTTGCTTTTATTTTATATAATAATGTACAATATAATAATGAATATAAAGAGATAAAGAAATTATTATTGAAAGTCTTGAAGCTCTCCAGCCTCAACCTTCAGATCATAGCCCTCAGCTCTCAGTTCTCAAGTCTCCACTTTTAGCCCTCATCTCTCTCTCTCTCTCTCTCTCTCTCTCTCTCTCTCTCTCTCTCTCTCTCTCTCTCGTTCTCTGTTTACACAGATGTCCCGCATTCCAGCGAGCTTGCACTGATCGGACATATAATGAATGTGCAGGTATGGCTGGCCTAGGGCCGGCTCTGCTTTGATACAGCTGAATGGCTTGCACATCCTGCATGGGCCAACAAAAAGAGAATAAACACTTGATGACTTCGTAATGTCTCATATTACAGGATATTACATTGAAATTTCCCAGGCTGTGCCTGAACCACATCATCATCAGCAGACACGCCTGGGTTTTTGTGTGTCTATATACATATACATACATACACATGTTAAACACTTACAAAATTGTAAGATAAACAATAGTTATTATTAAGTATTCCACAATTGTATATATATATACCATAAAAACTTGTGTAAACTGTGAGTGTTTCTGCACACACTCACACTCACATTCACACTCATATTCACATAGAATATGCCAAGTTTGGTGTAGATATTTTTAAAAAATTCTTCAACTGTTGCCTTTGGCAAATTACTTACAAACCTAAATACATATAAGTGTATATAAATATATACACCTCTCTCTCTTTCGCTCCCACTCTCGCTCTCCCTCTCTCTCTCGCTCTCGCTCTCGCTCTCTAGGTATGCTCGTTTGTGAGTCTTATTTTGGCTGATGTTGCCGCAGTTAGCGTGACTGAGGCATTCGCCATGCTGAAGTGAGTTTTCAAATTTGATACAAATTTCAGTTTTTGCCGCTTTTCAGCTTTTTAGCTTTTAGTTTTCTTTCTGCCAGTTGTTTTTACTGCCGAAATACTTCGTTGGCAGCAAGTCAACCAAGTCCAAGCAATGCATCAGACTCTCATGAAAAACTGGCGCAAAATTCAAACACTGCAAATAATTGGAAAGGCATTCAAGATGCCTAAATGCTCGTTGAAGCTGCTGCTGCTGCTGTTAGCTCTTATTGCTGTTGCTGTTGTTGTTGTTGCTGTTGTTGCTGCTGCTGCAGCTTCAGGGTGGTAATGGAGCGATTTCTGCTGCTGCTGCTTCAAGTGTTAGCCTCCATCGGCCAGACTCAGTCGCGCACTAAATACCAATTGTAACGCCTAACGTTAATCACATTAAAAAAGAGAGAAATAATGAAAATATTCGATGTAGCTACATATTTCATACTTGTTAGAGGCTCATCTATTAATTTAGAGTAAAAGAAGAGTTGGGTAGAGTTGAGTTAATTTCTTAGGAAAGAGTATGGAATAGAAAGAGCTTAATGCTCAAATATTCTAGTTTACTGATTATGATAATATTTTATATAAATTTATAGAGATTATTGGATGTCTTTTTCTCTGTCAGTTATTGAATTTGCATATATGTATATATATGTAAATATATAATATTTTGTTTTTATTAAGTATTCCTCTCAAACAATTACAGCTGGGCAAGATGTGGGTGAGGTCGTTCGTCTTTACGAAATTCTCTTGATGATCCAGAATCGAGACTTTTCTGTAGCTGTACAAATAATTTGTTTGCATTTTGTGAAACCTTGTTCATTGATCGCTTAGTAATAGTCAACAATTGAATGACTCAAAGTGGAAATATGAAAAGGTCACTAAAAAGCAATTTACTGTATTATTAAAGTTTTGCTATATTAATTTCCTGGAACTTTTCATTTCATGGAAATTATTCAGATTTTAAGGCGTTGCTCTAATATACATATATTATATTATAAATGGATTTGTGGATTTGTATATATTGGAAATAAGTTAACATTAAAATAATATTTATTTCTGTTGAATTTTTATGGACGACTAGAATTATTATTTATTTAGTCTATAGCTTTTGTTTCCTATTAATTAGTATGCAATTTTGTTAAAAAAAAAAAAAATTGAAAAAATATGTATAAATAATCTACTATTCCAGCTACCTTTGCTCAAATCACTTAATAATATTTGCGTTGCATTGAAAAATCTTTGAAAAAGCAGAGTAGATGACACCATAAACTAAAGTAAAGTAAAGTAAAGTAGAGTAAAGTAAAGTTGATAGTAAATAGTAAATTGATTCATATTCACACCATTCACAATTTTTGATGGAGTTGCATGTACACGCAATTCGAATCAATTGCCACATTGACACACATAGTGTATGTATGTGTGTCAGTGTGTGTGTGTGCGTGTAAACATGCTTGTAGACCAATTGTAAGTTTTAGAGCTGGGCACGACGATGACGAGCATATCAAAGACCTTCACGCTAGAAAACAAACACTAAGCCAGAAGACAAACGTCAGACGAGGCCGATGACGAGACGAGACGAGACGACAATGGCAATAAAACCACTTGCACAGGTGTGACCAGAGGGGGCGGGTGGAACAGCTAAGGGCAGGTGAGATGTCGGTAGGAGGGCGATAGGTAGTTAAGGGG